GTTCCAGCTATGGCTGTAAGCAGAAAATACAGCAAATCATTTCTGCCTTTTCAGTAAAACTACATAGATGTGTGTATAGCTTGAGGGAGTAAAAGAAGGTACAGGACCAGACCTAACTTCTTTTTTCCCAGCAGAGACATGCCCTGTTCCACATACGTATGCCAGAGAAAGGGGGAAAGGGAAGAAATTTCACTAATTCTCTTTATCTCCTTTATCATCCAATGCCACTTTCATCATTCAGGGGATTCCCCAATTTTTTGGATTAGATTTTGGATGAGTCTAAAGGAAAGAAAAATTAATGAAACAACTTCTGCAGCAGAATTCTTCCACTGGCTAGAAAGAGCCCACCAGTCCATGGGAGGCAGATTTTTGATCTAACCACTTTATCTTTAAGGCTATCATATCTAAGCTGCAAAAATCCAGATGAGCACAAGTTGGTAGCAAAACAATACTGAAAATCCTTTGCTGCCATCTAGTGGTTGTCTGGATTTGTACAGGCCAGATCCGGTAGCCCTACCAATCAATTTCAGATTGAGTGTTCATTTTTCATACAGTCCAACTATACAAAGGGGAGATCCAGATCCAGCTATTTCAGGCACATACTTTCCTTTTAGCAGAATACTTAATCGATCATCCACTGATGTTTTATCTTCTGCAGCATATGCTTGACCTGTTTTTAGAGTCTGAATATTGCAGAACTGTCCTGTCAATCTTTGGAATAGCTCTGGAGGAACATGGAGTGGTTCAAACATTCTCTTGTACAGGCTATTGAGCTCTTTATTTATTTTTATCTGGAAGACAATAGTGAAGAAATATTATAGGCATTAGAAATGCAGAGGAAGTGGTTTCAAGACATGTCCATTTCAGTTAAAAAGGCTCTCCAAAAATACACTTGCTGGGAAAAAAATCAGTAAATGTTTACAGTTAATTTGTTGTTTTATTTAATACTGCTTTCCATGTAGTCAAAAGTTAAAGCTATTTATGAGTAAAAATTAAAAATTGCTAAAATTCAGTGGTAAAATAAAAAATGAAATCAATATAAAAGCTTATTCAGTGAAGAGGGGGTTGGGGAAGGAATGGAAAAACATAACAAAACTAGCCAGCCATGACATTTCCATTCAGAGAAAACCCAGGGGAAGAATTAAGTCTTCAACATGCATCTAAAAAACACATTAACAGGTGTCACCGTTTTTTTGGGGGGGGGGAGAAGAGGGGGAGAGGAAGAAAAAGAGCTTTCTAGAGTGCAGCTGCCAGTTGCATCTGTAACTACAAGTTGACACTGTCAGTCACAATACGTAGACCTTCTGATGATCATAGCGATTGTTCAGATTTGTAACAGGGAAGAGGATCTGTTAAATATCCTGGTGCTCATCTGTTTAGTGTCAGAAGCATGAACTTGGCTTGATAAATTGACAGTCAATGTAGCTGCTTCATACAAATGTGTGTATGACCAGACATCCCACTCAGAATGCTGGGTGCATTATACAACACATTCTGCATTTTCTAGGCCAAGCATAAGGGAGCCCCACATAGAATGTTACCTAATCTAAAAATGAGGCTATCGGTGTGTGTTCAATAATAGAACAGCTATTATTATATCTAAGAGATTATGTAATAAGTGTTCCAACTAATTCTGACAATGGCTGCTTCTGTGCACAAGATTACTTGGGCCTCCAAAATCTGTAATAACTCTAGAAGCATCCCAAAGGTATTTTCTGTTCTTTCTGAAGCACTGCCATTCCATTCAGAACACAAAGATCCCCATGGAGTCCTTGGTGCTCTCTGAGCTTGGTTGTTTGCTTGCAGACATTTCATAACTCAACTAGGGGCTGATGAAGTTACCTAGTTGGGTAATGAAATGTCTGCAAGCAAGCAACCAAGCTCAGAGAGCACCAAGGACTCCATGGGGATCTTTGTGTTCTGAATGGAATGGCAGTGCTTCAGAAAGAACAGAAAATACCTTTGGGATGCTTC